GACTGTGTGTGTGCGTGTGTTTGTGTCTGACTGTGTGTGTGTGTTTCTGACTGTGTGTGTGTGTTTGTGTCTGACTGTGTGTATCTGTCTGTGTGTGTCTGACTGTGTGTGTGTGTCTGACTGTGTGTGTGTGTGTTTGTGTCTGACTGTGTCTGTGTATGTGTCTGACTGTGTGTGTGTGTGTGTGTTTGTGTATGTGTCTGACTGTGTGTGTGTGTTTGTGTTTGTGTCTGACGACCGTATATGTGTGTGTTTTGCGCCTGACTGTGTGTGTGTCTGACTGCGGTGTGTGTGTGTTTGTGTCTGGACTGTATGTGTTTGTGTCTGACCGTGTGTGCGTTCGACTGTGTGTGTGTGTGTGTTTGTGTCTGACCGTGTGTGTGTGTCTGGAGTGTGTGTGTGTGTGTGTGTGTTGACTGTGTGTGAGTGTGTGTCTGACTGTGTGTGTGGTCTGACCTTCGACTGTGTGTGTGTGTCTGACTGTGTGTGTGTGTGTGTGTCTGACTGTGTGTATGTGTTTGTGTGTCTGACTGTGTGTGTGTTTGTGTCTGACTGTGTATGTGTGTGCAGCACAAAACCAGGATACACCACTGCGCTTAACACCATGACCATAAACTTTAGTGGTCATAGAGCAAATAGTGCAGATACACCGATACAAATACTGATACACACACTGACATAAATGCAGATACAGATACAAACACCGTCACACATACACAGATTCAAACACTGCCACACATACAGTTGCACAGACACACTGATACATATCCTGACACACATACAAATACAAACACTGCCACACATACAGAAACAGGCACACATACAAATACAAACATGGTTACACATACAGATACACACACTTAGACACATACAGATACACACATACTGATACACACATATAGATACACAAACAGACACACAGATACGCACACTGGCACACATATAGATATACACACATTGACACACATACAGATACACCCTGACACAAAGATACACACACTGAAACACATACAGATACACATAGTGACACATGCTGATGTACAGATATAGAAAACACACATACAAATCATAATTCTAGCCACCCTCTAGTTTCTGACCTTGTAGGCGCTGGAGGCTGGCTTCCATGGCTGGGGGTGATGGGTGTAAGGAACTTGTGCCTCTTCACTCTCCCTCTCACGTCTCCCCCTCTCGCACGGTAGATTCTATTTAAGCTTGGAGGAAGTATCCGGCTCACTCACCTCCTCCCAGCACTCTGAGCAAGTTAGAAGGGGCCTGGTTTTCCTATTAAAGTGCCAAAACTCACGACCGGGCCCCTCGTGGCACATGTCCATTGGGTGGCCTTAAGTGCCCGGGCCACCCAATGGACCTGCACCTTTGCAGTACCCCGCCCCCATGCTTACTTTAACCTTATTAAAGGGACACTATAATCATTTCAATGAAGTGGTCTTGGTGTAGTGGCCCAGTCCTTTTAACCAAGCAATGTAAAGCACTGTATTTTTTATAGTAACAGCAATATTTACATTGTAGGGTTAAATACACCTTAAGTGGTTTCATACAGAAAAAAAGGTAAGCTAAATCTTTGATACATTGTCATGATCTTGACAAATGGATTTGTAAAGATTTGTTAAATTGTATTGTTTTACACACAATTGTAACAGCTTCTATACTTAACTGAGATGTTCACGCTGATTACTCATTACTAGTGATGTCCCGAACGGTTCGCCGCAGACGGCGAACATATGCGGTAAACTTTGACCCTGTACCTCACAGTCAGCAGACACATTCCAGCCAATCAGCAGCAGACCCTCCCTCCCAGACCCTCCCACCTTCTGGACAGCATCCATTTTACATTCATTGTGAAGCTGCATTCTTAGTGAGCTGTCCAGGAGGTGTGAGGGTCTGGGAGGGAGGGTCTGCTGCTGATTGGCTGGAATGTGTCTGCTGACTGTGAGGTACAGGGTCAAAGTTTATGTTTATGTTCGCCGTCTGCGGCGAACCGTTCGGGACATCACTACTCATTACTCATGCTAACCACTGCATACCGGGAACACCCCACAAGACTTAGCATTTTATAGATGTTTTGGAGGCTGGTCTAGGCATCACCATTTGGCCCTTGTTATAATACAGCTCTCTAATGCGCAGCCCAATTTGACTCTTCTCACCTTAATTACTGTTGCTGCAGCAGGTAGGAATAAGCGCTAGAAGAACAACTGACAAAATATAGGCAGAAATCCTCAAACCCTAAACATTAACAACATAAAATGCACAAAAACAGGTTGCGCCAATGGATAGATGTAAAGAAATATAAATCGAATAAATAATAAATAAAACTTATAAAGTCCAATATTCACAGTCCAATGATCACAATCCCAGCCGCTTTTAAATTCTTGATAGGTAACAGTTCTTGATTAAGGTGCTTGTCAACATATGTAAAAATAAATATTAGTGCAGACTGTTTAAACAGGAAGATAAAGCTCTCAATAATGGTAATTGGAATTGCACTCACATTTTGGAATTGCACTCACATGTCATGATTCCCTTTTATTCCAGAAGTTTGGTCCTTAAGGGGTTAAACTAGCTATAAGTAAAATTGATTGCAGTGGTACAATCTTTACTGATAGATAAATAAACACTGAAGTGTGTGAGGTGTGCAGTGTGTGAAGGGTTCAGTAAATGAAGTGAAGCAGTGTGTGAGGGTTTCACTGTGTGTGTGGTATGCAGTCTGTGAGGGGTGCAGTGTGTGAGAGGTGCGGTATGTGTAGGGGCGCAGTGTGTGCATGACTGGCGCCGTTTGTGTGAGAGGTGCAGAATGTGTGAGGGGTGCTGTGTGTATGAGTGGTTCAGTGTGTGTAGGGGTGCAGTATGTGAGAGGTGCAATGTCTGTAAGGGTGCAGTGTGTGTCATATGTGCAGTCTGTTAATGGTGTAGTTTGGTGTGTGAGTGGTGCAGAGTGTGTAGGAGATGAAAGGAGCTCCCCTGTCTGCCTTGGCCTATGGCCATTGTGGCCAATCGGGCATTTGTATTACTGGCACTATAGTATTACTTTAAATATAGGCTGAAGGAAGACACATGGGGGGAGGGGGCAACAATGGGGTCTATATATTCAGGTAATGTTTCGTACTGTCATAAATTAACATAGTGAATTTCTCCTTAGTGAGAAGGTACTCAGTCTAGATATGTCATCTTATTAGCACTTATGTTAAAATATAAAATATTAAAATGAAATTCTATGTAAAAAAAAAAATACCCATAGTACCAAATTTTTTTTTCTGTGCCACAAGTAAATAAAAGACAGATTACTCTTGTTTCAACCACGTGAAGCTATAGTTCAGCGGTAGTCAACCTTCGGCACTCCAGATGTTGTGAACTACATCTCCCTTGATGCTTTGCCAGCATTATGATTTTTAGAGCATTATGGGAGATGTAGTCCACAACCTCCGGAGTGCTGAAAGATGCCTACTCCTACTCTCACAAGTTAAATATCTGCTAGCCAAAGTTTGGAGGACAACACAATAATTTAGGAGTTAAATAATAGTGAGATGCCTGGTTTTACTGCACAAATGTGAGTGTCTATAATCTTATACATAAAAATATCTTTCTGTACAAAGAACAGAGAGGAGTTCCACTTTTGTATTAGCAATATTAATTTTGTCCAACTTGGACAGCATTTATTGGCTGAGTTGGTCAGCTGATGTGCTCAGCCACAGAATACAGGCCCTTTGTGGACAGCAAAGGGCTTGGTTACAGGAGCCCAAATGACCCTCGGTTTGTGTGAAAATGCTTGAAAACTGTTTTACATAGAACCCGGGGAAGGTGCCAGGGTCGTGTTTCACCATAACTACTGCAGTCACCTGTGGTGGTTATGGTGCCTTTAGTGTACCTTTAACTTTACTGATGTAAGATAATGCCCTGAAAGTGAAGGTTAGCGGATAGTATGTTGTTGATGGTATTGCAGTCAAAAACATTGCTCAACCCTGCCTTCTGGTGGTTCTTTTGCAGTGCTTCAGAATCTGATCTTTAAAGTGAACCTGTAAGCAACTTACCTTAAATCGCTTCCATTCACACTGAATACAAAATATATTATAAAGATACATGGTGTATTCAATGTAATATATAAAGATTTACTCACTTTTTCTCCAATCCAGCAAAGCTTCATAGGTGCCACTCTTCATGTGACACCCACTTCTGGACCGTCCTCCTGAAGCCTTCTTTGATTTGCCATGCTTTTGACAGTTGCTTTTGACACTTGCCGTGTGCCGTGCGTGATGTCATGCCACACCTCTTTTATACACGTAAGCCAGCGCTAGAAGCGTTGCCTAGGGAGTTGGCAGGTCTTTTCTGCTCACTGAGTAAAACTCGGTCACGTGATGAAGATGTCCCAGAGAAAGCATTGGTTTACTGCTTTCTTATGGGGAATTTTGAATACGCCTGCAACACTCACTGCTTATGTGCATTATGTCCTGAAAAAAGTAGATAATATAAATTTTTTTATGATTACATTTTTATTGCACCTGGTGGGACCTGGAAAGGAGGAGGGAAAGGAACACTATAGCTAGTTGAAGCAATCGATGGGTATTATGATGTCATGCATCGGTCAAGCGTTTATTGGAACATCAGGAGAAAAAATACAGCATTTCGGCCTTCAAAAAGAATTAAATAAATAAAACAAATAATCATTACACTCCTTCATGCACCCACACAATAATATCAAATAAGGTGGGTAATTAACACAATAAATGTAATCAAATAAAAAAAGTATTATATACACATATAATGTGTGTAGATAAGGCCAGGGGTTAATTAAAGTATTTGAAAATTGGGCAGACTATATGGGCCGAATGGTTCTTATCTGCCGTCACATTCTATGTTTCTACAGGGAGTGCAGAATTATTAGGCAAATGAGTATTTTGACCACATCATCCTCTTTATGCATGTTGTCTTACTCCAAGCTGTATAGGCTCGAAAAGCCTACTACCAATTAAGCATATTAGGTGATGTGCATCTCTGTAATGAGAAGGGGTGTGGTCTAATGACATCAACACCCCATATCAGGTGTGCATAATTATTAGGCAACTTCCTTTCCTTTGGCAAAATGGGTCAAAAGAAGGACTTGACAGGCTCAGAAAAGTCAAAAATAGTGAGATATCTTGCAGAGGGATGCAGCACTCTTAAAATTGCAAAGCTTCTGAAGCGTGATCATCGAACAATCAGGCGTTTCATTCAAAATAGTCAACAGGGTCGCAAGAAGCGTGTGGAAAAACCAAGGCGCAAAATAACTGCCCATGAACTGAGAAAAGTCAAGCGTGCAGCTGCCACGATGCCACTTGCCACCAGTTTGGCCATATTTCAGAGCTGCAACATCACTGGAGTGCCCAAAAGCGCAAGGTGTGCAATACTCAGAGACATGGCCAAGGTAAGAAAGGCTGAAAGACGACCACCACTGAACAAGACACACAAGCTGAAACGTCAAGACTGGGCCAAGAAATATCTCAGGACTGATTTTTCTAAGGTTTTATGGACTGATGAAATGAGAGTGAGTCTTGATGGGCCAGATGGATGGGCCCGTGGCTGGATTGGTAAAGGGCAGAGAGCTCCAGTCCGACTCAGACGCCAGCAAGGTGGAGGTGGAGTACTGGTTTGGGCTGGTATCATCAAAGATGAGCTTGTGGGGCCTTTTAGGGTTGAGGATGGAGTCAAGCTCAACTCCCAGTCCTACTGCCAGTTCCTGGAAGACACCTTCTTCAAACAGTGGTACAGGAAGAAGTCTGCATCCTTCAAGAAAAACATGATTTTCATGCAGGACAATGCTCCATCACACGCGTCCAAGTACTCCACAGCGTGGCTGGCAAGAAAGGGTATAAAAGAAGAAAATCTAATGACATAGCCTCCTTGTTCACCTGATCTGAACCCCATTGAGAACCTGTGGTCCATCATCAAATGTGAGATTTACAAGGAGGGAAAACAGTACACCTCTGAACAGTGTCTGGGAGGCTGTGGTTGCTGCTGCACGCAATGTTGATGGTGAACAGATCAAAACACTGACAGAATCCATGGATGGCAGGCTTTTGAGTGTCCTTGCAAAGAAAGGTGGCTATATTGGTCACTGATTTGTTTTTGTTTTGTTTTTTGAATGTCAGAAATGTATATTTGTGAATGTTGAGATGTTATATTAGTTTCACTGGTAATAATAAATAATTGAAATGGGTATATATTTGTTTTTTGTTAAGTTGCCTAATAATTATGCACAGTAATAGTCACCTGCACACACAGATATCCCCCTAACATAGCTAAAACTAAAACAAACTAAAAACTACTTCCAAAAATATTCAGCTTTGATATTAATGAGTTTTTTGGGTTCATTGAGAACATGGTTGTTGTTCAATAATAAAATTAATCCTCAAAAATACAACTTGCCTAATAATTCTGCACTCCCTGTACTGTGATCTAATTTTTTTTAACCCCTGAGGAGTAACTTTTTATTTATTTTTTAACCCTCAGGGATTCAATTTATTTAATTAATTAATTTAAATATTTTATAACTATGTATTTTGCTAGCTGGGGTGGGTGGGAGTTATGGGAAAATGGGGAATTTACTGTTGGTGCTGCGTACTGCTAGTTAGGGGTTAACGGTAAAAAAAAAAAGCTTAGAAAAATGTTAAATCTGTAAAAAAGTTTTAAGAAAGTTTAGGAAAGTTTAAAAAAATTTATAAGCAAAACAAAAGTTAAAAAAACTAGTTTTTAAAAGTAAAAAGTTATAAAAAGTAAAAAAATACATTTTAAAAACGCTCATTACCACTACACCTGGAACAAACTAGAGAAAAAATTATCCCACGCCAAGGTTCAAAATATGCCTTTTGAATTACCCCAGGGTGTATTCTTTAATAAATAGTATGTGTTTGTGAGGAAGTTTCAATAACCAACCGTCTAAACTACTCCAAATTGGAACATGGACACAGCGTAAAACTTCAAAGTTAGAAAAAAACTGAATGGCTGCGTCTCAAATGCGCCCCTTCAACATCCACATATACCTGGCAAAGGTACATACGGGGGTATTGCTGTACTCAGCTGACATAGCTGAGCAACATATGAAGTATTATACAGTCGTAGCACACATAGGGTTTGCAAAATATACTGTGCAAACTCACTTTGTGTGTCAAAAAGGCAGAAAAAACGCTTATTACCACTACACTTGGTACAAGCTAGCGGAAAAATGATCCCACGCTAAGGTTCAAAATATGCCTTTTGAAATACCCTGGGATGTCTTCTTTAAGAAATGGTATGGCTTTATGGGGAATTTGGATTATATAGCCTGGTAAAATACTCTAAAATGGGACATAGGCACAGCATAAAAATTCAAAGTTTGAAAAAAACTGGAATGGCTGTGTCCCAAATGTGCCCCTCCGATGTCCACACATACCTGGCAAAGGTACATACGGGGGTATTGCTGTACTCAGCCGACATAGCTGAGCAACATATGAAGTATTATACAGTCGTAGCACACATAAGGTTTGCAAAATATACTGTGCAAACTCACTTTGTATGTCAAAAAGGCAGAAAAAACGCTTATTACCACTACATCTGGTACAAGCTAGCGGAAAAATGATCCCACGCTAAGGTTCAAACTATACCTTTGAAACACCCTGGGGTGTCTACTTTAAGAAATGGTAGGCCTTTGTGGGGTAGTTTGAATTTAAAACCTGCGAAGATGCTTGGAAATTGCACATAGGCCCAGCGTCAAAATTCAAAGTTTGGTAAAAACGGATATGGCTTGGTCTCCTATATGGCACTGTAGCTTCACGAAATAGTGCCAAAGACATTCATTGGGGTGTCTTTTTACTCAGAAGACTTAGCTGAGCATAATTTGGGAGGTTTGAACTTAGTGACACATATGAAATATACAAAACGCCCAGCAAAAATGCAATCTGTATGTAAAAAATGCACAAAATTATTTTTTACCACATACTTTGGCATATATTGGTGAAAAAATGGGGGTATGTTAAGGCACAATATGCACCTTATGAGATACCCTGGAGTGTCTACTTTTACAAATGGTAGGCCTTTGTGGGGGTTTTTGAACAGTCAAACTGTTATAATACCCCAAATGGAAGCTAAGGCTCATTAAATCCATCTCTCAAAATTCTACTGTGAATACTGTAAAGGACAGGTCTCCTATATGGCACTGTAGCTTCACGAAATAGTGCCAAAGACATTCATATGGGGTGTCATTTTACTCAGAAGACTTAGCTGAGCATAATTTGGGGGTTTGAACTTAGTGGCACATATGAAATATACAAAACGCCCAGCAAAAATGCAATCCGTATGTAAAAAATGCACAAAATTATTTTTTACCACATACTTTGGCATATATTGGTGAAAAAATGGGGGCATGTTAAGGCACAATATGCACCTTATGAGATACCCTGGAGTGTCTACCTTTACAAATGGTAGGCCTTTGTGGGGGTTTTTTGAACAGTCAAACTGTCATAATACCCCAAATGGAAGCTAAGGCTCATTAAATCCATCTCTCAAAATTCTACTGTGAATACTGAAAAGGACAGGTATCCTGTGTGGCACTTTAACTTCACAAAATAGTGGCAAAGACATACAATGGGGGTGTCGTTTTACTCAGCAGATGTAACTGAACACAAAATAAAACTTTGTACAGGAATAGCAGACACCAACTTTACAAAATATACACGAGAATTTCTTTGTTATAAGTTTGTGTGCCAAAAACCAAAAAAAACACAATTTTACTCCAATATTTAGCAGAGGTTGGCGGTGAAATGGCTACGTAGAAAGTGTCAAAACAACCTTAGGTAAATAACCCGTGATGTCTACTTTATATAAATATATACTTTTGTGTGGCAATTTTGTTTTCTTTTATGGCTATTAGGCTTACAAGACAAACATACCAAATTCTAAAATCGCTCCACATTAAAAGTCTATTTTACTCCTTGTGCTTTGTGACCTGTAACTACCAAAAAAAACTTTAAATCCCAGACACATTGTATATTCTGTAAATCAGAAGAACTAAATTAATTTATTTTTAATTACTTTTCTTAGCCTGCACTAATTATGCACACATTATTATTGCAAAAACTGTCAAAAAAACACAAAATTTTCGTATTTTTTACATTTTTCTGTATTTTTTTTATAATAAATAAGCATTTATATATATGTGTGTTACATCAAATTAAAGCCCTTTCTGTCCTTTAAAAAACAATGTATAATATGTGTTGGTGCAACAAATTAGTAAAATGCAAATTGCAGTTGAACGCAAACATCAAAAAATGAAAAAAATGCCGTTGTCATTAAGTGAAAGACAAGCTTTTGAAGCTCTGTCCTTAAGGGGTTGATAATGGCCTATTAAAGCAAATATAATATGTGACTGTATTGACATACCTTATATACATTGCTGATGGTTTTCACTGAATAATATATTTTGTATAGTGACTCTAGGTACTTAATGTTATATAATACCACTACTGATATATACTACTTCTTCCTTTTGTCGAATGTTATAATTTGAATAAATAAAATAAAATAAAAAAGAGTGAATATAAGTTCTGCACAATTTTTGTAATCTAAATTATTCAACCCCCTTTTGGAAATCATGTTTATTGTCAATATTTACAGACGTTCAGTCGTTTTCATCGAACAAATCAAACAAAAGCAATTGAAATAGCTCAACACAAGTTCAACACAAATCCCACTGAAAATGCAACTTATAATGACTTCTCCAGTCTGAGAATTATTCAACCACTTGTATAGAATCCCTCACAACAGCACAAATATACATAACAGGTGATGTCTAAAGCACACTTAATTAATTAAGGGCTTCATTAGTTGCACAGGTGTATTTGAGCTGGAACACTTGAATATCTGTACTGGCTAGGGGTTTGTGGAGTATCACATTTGACTGCATGTTAGTAATATGGTCCATATATTAAAAGAAGAGATCATAGCCCTTCACAAACAAGAAACAAAATCCCAAAAGATAGCGAAGGCACTAAATGTTCCTAGAAACACAGTTGGAAGCATCAGCAATGTATGTACCATCATTTGCTTTTGGTAGCACTTTCCAGGGGCCTGCAAAACGCCACCCTTTTAACATCCCAACAGATTCCTTGCTAGTCTTGTGTCCTGGGGGGCCCAAGATGGCTGGCCACCTTTGGGACCCACGAGGTGAGCAGTAGCTATTAATGTGCGCTCTGCTTTATGATGCTGGAAGCCTGTATGTGACATCAGTCCGGCTCCCATATTCACTAAGCAGCGTGCAAGGGAGCTAAGCAGGAATATCACATCTCTCTCGCTGCTCACTCTTCCAGTCCACCTCCCTGCCAGCCTGCACACCTGCCCAGCAGCACTAGAAGCCCCAGCAGCCCCTGAACTGGCTTTGCTCCAGCTAGCAAATTGTTTTAAAAAAGGCAAGGAATACACTCGATTTCTCCTAGGAATGCTGGGTGGATTTAAATTTAAATAAAAAATAAATAAATAATAATTTGCTAGCATTGTGGAAATGTGTATGGGTATGTGTGTCTGCTAGTTAATGTGGGTGTTTGTCAGAGTGTGTGTCTGTAAATTAGTGTGTGTGTCTGTCAGT